ATTTTTAGGTCAGGAGGGACTGTATAATACGAATTACAGAAATATTGGACCACAATGACTAAAAAATTTGGTTCGCATCAATTGAGAGTGCCAAAATGTCCTGTTTTTATTCAAAATATTGAATCGTAAACAAATATCAGTAGTTTTCATACCTCAGACTGGCTCGTATAACAAAATTACTTGTCCGAATCAACCAAAACTGACCTAATTTGCTCTTTTTTATGTAAATCTTATAGTTGCATAGTAAATCAGTTATATTTTTATGTAAAGAGGGACTGTATAATACAAATGACAGCAATATTGGAAAACAATGACTAAAAAATTTGGTTCGCATCAATTTATAGTGCCAGCATCTCCTATTTTTATTCAAAATATTGAATCGTAAGGAAATATCAGTAGTTTTCATACTTCAGACTGACTCGTATAAGAAAATAATTGGTCCGCATCAACCAAAACTGACTATATTTGCACTATAGCATGCTAATCTATATAGCTGCATAGTTAACTAGTTATATTTTTAGGTCAGGAGGAACTGTATAAAACAGATGACAGTAATATTAGAAAACAATGACTACACAATTTTGTTCGCATCAAGTTATAGTGCCAGTATGTCCTCTTTTTTTTCAAAATATTGAATCGTAAACACATTTTAGTGTTTTCTTACCTTAGACTGACTCATATAACAAAATTATTTGTCCGCATCAACATGATCAACCAAAGCTGACCATATTTGCACGTTATTATGGAAATCTTGATAGTTGCATTATGAACTGTCACTTAAGTCAGTAGTTCGGGATGGTTTGTATTTAAAACAAAACTATAATTTTAACGGCATCATCCAACACTGACATGACTGATTAAAGTAATTTATAATGAAAAGTACGAGTTGACATGTATCCAAATTATGAGGAGTTCTCTTCTTGGAAAAGTGTACTGTTTATATATTATGGCGGTTGATTGATTTCGTTTGTAGCCTAACGTCCAGGGGCAAATATTTTTTTTCATGTTCAGAACGAGTATATTTTTTTCGGACGTCCCAGATATCATTTATAATCGTTATGGATAAGTCTGTCTAAATTGACGAGATGGTACAAATGTACATACTTATACAACACCTGATCAATATCCAAATATATACACTACAATTTTCGATCGAACATTTGGCAAAATAGAATCTTGAATCATGTAAATCCAAGGCAAACAAGGTGAATTACGATTAAAAATCCTTGTATTAAATGCATAGAGTTATATTTAGGAAGAGACTGTTAAAAATGGGGAACGAAGCAACGTAAACCATGATGTTTATATCCCATCATATACAAATATTTTTCTGATGTGTTGGATAACCTTTCTATTTGCCTCGATATTTGTACATGTAACTTTTGAAAAGAAACTATAGAAAATCCCCTACTCGGGAAAATTATTGGAACTGATTTTTTGTAATTAATAAAAGTTAATATTTCGAATTAAGTGTTTTTGAATTATTCTGGTTTGAAACACTTGTACATAAAATATTAAGATACAAGTCGTTTTAATTAAAAATAAATGTACAAATGAACACGAAGTTTATTTCTTAATTTACACAATCAGTTAACGCGAAAAGTAAACGCGCGTTTACTTTCAAGTGCACGTAGAAATACACTTGTGAAATCTGTAGTAAACGCCCGTTTACTTTTAAGTGCACGTAAAAATAAACTTGTGAAATCTGAAGTAAACGCCCGTTTACTACTGACTAAACAGACACATAGTAAACGCCCGTTTACTCGGGTAGACATTAGAAATTTCCATTTTGACCGCGTTAACGTAATTATAGTAAACGTGCGTTTACTAGTAAACGCGAAAATTGAAGTTAACTAACGAAATATGTGCACGCGGCGTTAATTTGCGTTTACTTTATGTAATGCTTGGTCTGCACCCAACTGTATTCTATGTCCTGCAGGCATCTTGAATCACTCTCTAATGAAGGAATGTTTAAGATGCGTACATATACATGTAAGATTAATAAATAGTTTTGATTATTTTTATTTTGCAAAAGCATGGCACAAAAAGAACTAAAACAATCGATAGACTTTATTTATACTTCATCATGACTGCTAAACGGTAATTTTGATCTTGTGATTTGATTAAGAAATAACACATTATTCGTAACAAAAGCAAGCTGTATGTTAGTAACAATATACAACTTCACCTTCATATGGGATATACATTGCCCAACTCATTCGGTATTCAAGAGCTTGCAGCTGCTACTCAGATTTTATCAAACGCGCGTCAAGGGTGTCTGAGCAGAAAGGTGATTTACCAGGGTTATGACAAAGAACATTTCGTTTTTTTTCTCAAAAAGTTCATTGGAAGATACCAAGATCTAGTTGATAAATATTCCGTATCATATTCACAAATAATACACGATGGTCTTGAAGTATAGATTATATGTACTGACGTTGTTTATCATTTTAATTACTATGATTACGTGTAAAAGTGTTTTTTATATGTCTTTATAAATTATTTTATCATTTTATTTTTGTCCCTTTTTTCATTTCCTTTTGGCGTAGCTTGGTACTTATACATCCCGCCATTGTGTCATTGTGCTATGGTCTTCTCGTATTCTTGTCTTTCATTTTTGCTTATGTGCAGTGTCTATATGTAATTTTGTGTTTCTTTGTTTACATATTTGTTTGTTATTATAATGATTAAGATTATAACTTAATGTTGACTGTTGTACCCCTATTTTTTTCCCTATTATGTATATAAATGGATATGAATCAAAAACGTTATATGCTATTAGAGTGTTCATAAAACAACCTATATAATATAATTAGCATAAACAAATATGATGTCTGCATTGCTGGCTTGTATTTGTATTAGTTAAACAGTCTGCCATTATTATTGTTGAAGTTTATTTTTTATTTAACTAAGTACGGCAGGTAATCCTACTTCAAAAATACGAATGTAACTTGTGGTTATTTAAAGCGTAAGTAAATATTTTGATCCTTCATTTTAGTTACCAAGTAATTTCTGACGCAAACAATTGATTGTCACAACATGTTTAAATATAAATTCGAAAAATATATTGGTCATCTTATTCATTTGATCAAAACAGTACATAAGACAAATTATTAATTTTGTATCGAAAATATTTAAAAACCTAAAAAAAACTAATTTGACGTAGGGCTGCCACATTTCACTATCGTGGCGAAGTACATATACTTTTTTTTTCATATTTTAAAACATTCATTGTTTGCTTATTTCTTTTATTTGTTAAGGCAAATATTCAGAAGAACAAAAATAGTCTTCTTCGAAAACTTATAAAAACAAAAATATCCACATGTAAAGCTTGTTTAGATGTTTAGGTTCTAGGAAAGATGTCTTTGTTATGCTGTTTATTCACAATAAAAACAAAAATATGCAATTTTGAATACACAAGGAAAACGAAAAAAAAAGAAGATTAAAATGAAATATGAGAGGATATCATATATGAAGGGAAATACAGATAACCATTGAGGCATTCAAAATTTTACCCCCAATAAAAATAGCAAATCCCTCTCACGGACATGTTCGATGAAAGTATTAAGAAGGTAAGAGAAAAGGACATTAAAACATGATTTATCATTTAACTTTTTATATAATCATGATGATTACCATTACATCAAATAACTACTGCTGCATTGATATGTTATAACATAGATACAACTCGCTTGTTTTTGTGTACAAAATACATACAACCTATCCTTCATGTAAATACAATCGAGTAATCAACATAAAGCGAAGGTTGTTTTATGTTTTGCCTAACTATAGTTTATTCTCGGACAAACAATGTAAGTTGGATACAGAAAGAAAAAAACATGAAAAAGACAGGACATAATTTTAAAATGAAACATGAGACAATATCTACATAAAAGAGAGAAAGAATTGACCATGGGAGCATTCACAATTGTAGCTCCAATAAAATTTGAAAATAACATGGCAAAATAGAAAAAGAAATACAGCGACAAACGAACAAACACACTTAACAAACAGAATATAGAAAATCTAAATATTTGCAAAAACTTCTTCGCAATTTCTAGGTATGATTTAAGGTGCTCTGAAAAGGTATGTCGTTTTTGATCCACATGTTGCGGCCGTAGTATTGTCCAATTAAGTAAAAATCTAGTATTACGTTGCTTTCGATAGTGTCATTGTAGCAAATGAAGGACAGGAAGTGGAACATATCTGTGGTTATATATGACATATATATCCAATAACGGCCAACAAAACCGTGATGTCGTCCATAAAACTTTCAAAGAGATGTCTTTAACTTTATTCGCAACCCTTGATGCAATTGCTGACTTGTAAGCAATAACACGAATAACTCTCAATTTAGATTAGCATTATATAAAACGCAATTTATGGAATAGAGAATTAACTGGCAGATGTTATAAAGACACTATAGGCGATCTTTTTTGTATTAAAATATTAAATGTATATGAAAACAATTATGTTTTAATAAGATAAATAAACTTTTGAACGACTTGAATACTATATATTATCCATGATTTTTAGACTGCGAACACATAGGTTGTTGCCGACGGGACGTATATGCAAAGCGAGAAGTATGATATGAAAAAATATCACAAAAATCTTTAAAGGAAAAATACACCAAATAGCGATAATGGCTATTACCAAACCTTATCCCTTGATAACAGATTAGCATAAGCGCTTTCTGCCGCATGCTCAGATAAGCTTTAGCAAGCTTGATTTCTTCAGATCGTATTAAAAAATAAAACATTTTAATCTCAAAGATAGTTAATATAGACATTTACGAACTGTAACATGTGTAATATAATTTATATCATTCATCACGTTCACTGAAACTCGATAGAATTTTGATAACAGACATTTTTATTGCACCACGGTATAAAATATATCTTTCATATGTGGTATAATAAATCAATAACGTTAATAATTTGGTTTACTTTGATTTTAACATGGAGATTTTCAACCCACATTAATTTTCTTCTTATCAGGATTTTCTGCGTTTGATCAAGTTACGTGACAAAACGTTTACAGTTGAACATTTTGGAAATCATTAACGGATATTAAAAGGTTAGTACCGTAATAAAAAACATGAAAACAATATTTTTGAATTTTTAAGTAGATTTCGGAAAAAAAAAGAGAAAAAATTGCTAGTAGCAACACATTATATAATCTAATTGATTTCGACATTTACAGCATGATCAGTGTTTTAAAGTCTTTGCAGAAATATACGATACTATATTGCAAATGAACATCTTTAATTATTGCTATTATTTCTTCAAGCTAAATTAAAGTGATTGCAGTCAACATCATAGATATATAAGATGTTTCATGTGCTTTAGGCGTATAACATGTTACCAATATATCTTCATCTATTGATTATTTAGCGCTTATTACGCATTAATTAATTAAGGAATTACTTGTCGAGTATGCATTGATTTTAGCAAGTAATACTCAAATAATCGCTTGGGAAGTTATTTAATAAATGAAATGACAATTATTCCGCACTTACTACATGTACATACATTGAATAATTTAATAAAAACCTTATAGGTATTGAAGGTGTCTGATGTTTTTAACAGTCCTTATACAGACGAACATGTTTAATCTTGCCATATCGATGTCGCAGCAATGGCTAAGATAAGTTTAACCAAAAGGTTGCTCTCGTGTGTAGTTATTATTTCCAAACGAAAAACAAAAAATGGAGGCATTTCAAACGACATTTTAGCTCAAACATATGCAACGTATTTAACAATGATTATTCATTAACTTATTAATTGTCCGAGGACATTTTTTCTTTTTCAAAAGAAGCAGACAATCTCGTTAAATTAAACCGATAAGTTGAGTACTATTTTGGTATTCGTTAATCGGATCTACCGAACATTTCCGCGTTAATAAAGTGCTTGTAATAACTAATTACATACATTTTTTTTTTGAATACTGTTAGAAAAGGAAACAGTTAAACATTCAAAAAATTGATCAGCAAGACTAAGTGTTTCGTCTTTGGTTGGATTAAAAGTTTAATGAGTTATTGGAAGGTTCATTACATGTATGCAGGCACATTGAATCAGTTTGTGCGGACAGTTTTGATTAACATGACAAGAGTTGAGCGTGATAACATTAATTATAACTATAATTGTAGGTATTAAATTGACTTAATTCAGAGCATTTCATTTTGTCCGTGTGATAGTAGAGCCAAGGTTTATTCAATTTCAACAATGAAGTTTTCAGTTGAATGCAGGTACCTTGACAATTACCTCATAACTGTCTTGCCCATATGAAATGTTTTTTGTTTGTTGTCATGAGTTTTATATGAATCTTTGTGTTCTTCATTTTTTTATTTTCAATTGATATGAAAGTTTTTTAGGATCCCATGTAGTGTTGTGTAGAGTCATTTTTTTATTTTATATGTAGCTTGAACATGTAAATGTATGTGGCAATTGATTAAAGTTTGATATGGTCCCATTTTTGTTATGTCTGTTTCTATCAAAACTGTTCGATCACATGATACGGATTCGATAGATCTAACTTTAGGCTGCATGTAAACAAACCGTAAACTGAATAAACAGTCTTTGTTTTACCGTTTTTTTTATTGTCTTGGTGATTTTTCTGGTACATTGTATTAAACATTCAGACAACCATACGGATATATTTAAGACAGAGTTCGCTAAATATATTATACAAATTTATATAGGTGTGACATATTTTTCTGGCCTATTGTTTTTACAATTACTGATGCTCATAATTTTGCCGGATATGCACTGTACAGAAGATTATTTGGCATAACGTGTCTTAATTCTTTCTGCCTATTTATTAATGTGAATCTGTGATCTTTTTTATCTGCTGTATTCTTGGCACTCAATATTGCGTTATAACGTGTGTTGGTGGAACATGATATAGTAAATCGCAAGTATGGTTTCCAAATGATAATTAAAGCAGCAAATACTTTTTTTCAATTTTTATGGCTTAGAAATAACCGTTAAAAATTATAGCTCATACTTACCTTCAAATTAGGTTTTTTGATAATTTTGGATTAAAAAAAAAAATCATACCACTTGACCAAATGTTTTGAAACTTGAATTCAAATTAGACCATAAAATACAGGTTAATTTTGATATCAATGATTATGATATGTACGGTTTGATAATGATGTTCCTTGCTTACCTTTACAATTTGGTGTTTTCTCGATTCCGGATGATAAAGATAATACCGCATTGTCAAATCGTTTGAAATGTACATACATATATATATTTGTTTTATTGGTAATTAATGTGTCACTCGACCAAATGTTCTGAACTTTGAACATATTTTGATGTATGAAATACATGATTTCGATTTTTTACGATTTTCAAAATCAATCTGGACTTACATCTAGAAATTGACAATGAATGTCTGTGTAAAACAAAACTTTTAGACAAAAGAGATGATTTCAGCTTCCCAATTGTGAACTTTCCATTTATATGTAACAATATTACAGCAGCGCATGCATACGGAGTATATATCTCCCAGTTAGTGCGATATTCCATGACTTGTATTTTTTGTCATGATTTCCTTGATGGACGGTTACTGCTCACAAGGTAGCAATTAAATCTAGAGTTCCAAGTGGTTCCTTGATAGAGGGTTGCTGCTCACAAGGTAGCAATTAAACCTGGAGTTCCAAGTGATGAAGTTGAAATAATTCCTTTGTAAGTTTTACTGACGCCATCACGAGGTGGTTGACCGTTATGGTATATCCGTTTCACAGATGATAACGGATATGTTCCTAATGTCGTAACTACAATCCCGTCCCGTTTTCTCGAATGTAACCTTCTGAATTAGATTTATTACCGGGTTTGTAGTAACATGAGCAACACGACGGGTGCCACATTAGGAGAAGATCTGCGTAGTCTTCCGGAGCACCTGAGATCACCCCCAGTTTTTGGTGGGGTTCATGTTGTAAAGAGTCTTTCCTTGTTACATCACAATTATGATTGTGTTTGTTTTCAGGTATAAGAAAGTACCCTTGCATGCCATCTTTTAAGATATGAACACATTGTAAGGAAAAATATACAGGTCACATTCGTTTTTAATTTTGATGTTGGTAGTAACTGCATTACTGCAAGATCATTAGAGTACCTAATTCTAGTTATTGACAATCTGTTGTAGGATATGCAGCAGAACTATATTTTACCGGACTAATGCATTTTTTTTCCGTTCATGTTCCGTGTTGTTACGCGGATAAAAAGGGCTTACCTGTCTAAGAGTATGTAAGCCACAGAATAGATTCATTAGACATGGATAGACTTTACCTATGGTTTTTGCAATTTTTATATTTTCAAATACTTTTTGGCATGTGTTTATGCTTTGTATGGGTGTACATATCTTAATTCTATTAGAGCACTTACCAAAGAATTACAAAAAAAACCCTCTAAAACAAACAGAAAAAGCATTATAAAAACTCATTAACAATACATGTATGTACGGTGTACCATAAATTTCTAGCTAAATCGAATACCATTACTCATCTTTAAATGGTTTATAACTTCGAGAATACTTTTTGTTTATGTATAATATGTTAATATTTCTAAAATTATTCTTGTTATCAAATAATAGTTTTAGGCTAAGCTCTTGATAGAGATTTCCAATATAATGACATACTTACGTAACTCGACATACGGGACTAATGGGCGTGGTTATTGCCAAACCTTTAATTTGATTAAATACGTCGCTCAAGTTTAATCAAAGTATTCCAAGACTTTTAAAATCACACATTGGAATTTTCGTCCATATAACATAATTTTGTCATGCCAAAAAATCATAGAAATCTTGCATTTTTATTTATCACGTGATTTTCCAGATTCCCGCCATTATTTTCACTGACATAAGATCACGTATAAACACACGTATCCCATACCTATCATACGTACGATTTGAGTTATCTTTCATGGTTTTGATTATGACAATATTATTTTTCGATATACTTTGCAGATGAACGCCCCATTATACATTTTTCTGTTTTTCTTTAAATGTATCTATCTTTTTATTATATTTGTTGCGGGGAAAATATTGAGAAGTATATTTTTCTGACAATTTCAAAAATATCGAAACCAGAGTTTGTCAGAATCTGTCTCTTTATAAAATTTGAAAATTGAGATAAAACTATCGCTTCTATTTAATTTCTAAACAATAGTATTTTTGATTTATTAAAAAATGTGTTGATAACGAAATCCCTATATATGTTGTTTTTTAGAATTAAGTTGTGTTCGATTAGGGATTGTTCTGTATTAATTTGTTTATCGGGAATTCTATCGGAGTCCAAATACAAAAGACATTTCCAGGTAATCCATTTTATATCCCTTAAAGTAAATTAACTTATATTATTTTATCCATGTAATTGATAAACAATTAAAATGGGGTCACCGAATTCATTTTACTGAATAAATCACTGACGGAAATGTGTAAGGTAAGTAACCACATAATATAATAACATGTCGTTGCCAATTGCGGATTCAGGATTTTAAAAAGGGGGGAAGGAGATATAGGCAACGTTAGAAGTGGACCAAAAATAGAAGTATTATTAGGATGAAAGATCATATATATAAGTGTTCGTTGTATATGTATTTTACATATGCATATTTAGGATGAGAAGATGAATATGAACCAGACTTTGTATTATACCGCAGGAAGACGTGTCATCCTACCCGGACACATGATTTTGACCCCGGAGCGACCAATGTTTGCTCTAAATTCGAATTTTAAATATTGCGTGCTTGGCAGAGAGACAGCCAATCTTCGATTTGAAACGGGCGGGGATCGAGCCCAAGACTCCCCACACTTGAGCATTGGTGTAGCTTTCATTGGCTCAATCAGGCAATTGCCTCACCAAATATTTGACCATTTAAAAAGAGAGATAAAGAAATTATTTACTATGTACGTTATAGTATAAAGTATACTGAGTGACGACTGTTCAAAACGTTGACTGCTTTACTCTTTCACTCACTCATTCCTCATTATCAACGTCTTGGAAACTTTCTTTCATAAAATGGACAAGGTGGATGCAAATATCTTTTTTAAGTAACAGACAAAGTATACCTCGCAAAAAAAAACTGATTCCAACAAGAAGTCATAACCGTAAAACTGATATGATGCTTGATTTTTTTTTTGACAACGAACTTGTTACTTTTGATGGACAACGTTTTCAACAGACACTTGGCATTCCTACATTTTATGTAGTACTCTTCTACCTTGGTTAATATTAGCAAGACTTTATAGTTCACCCAGTTATTATCATCCATATATTTTGACAAAGTTAGAAGAACAAAACCAATAGTGACCATATTTCTACTCCCCTGATCATCTTTGACGGGTTACTGTCGAGGCGAGCGCGCGACCGAAGAGACAGATATGAATTAGGAGATTCATATACATGTACGTATATTAATCAAAACATTTGCAATAAGAATGTGTGGCCTTAAGACACCGTGCCCCTTCACATGATCATATTTCCATGTTCAGTGCACCACTTAATCCGAGTCAAACTCTTATTTGGTATATAATTTTGAACGTTCTATATTTTGAACAGAAGGGACGGATGCACAGACCAGTAAATAGAATATCCCCTTGCTATCATAAGTTGGTCATGAAACTAAAATGATCATCCTACTTAACAAAACTTCAATCAAATATTCCGTACATGTCCGTTTTTCATACGTATTTGTATAACTTAAAACGCCAAACATTTTAGAAAAACAATTTAAGGGCAATGACGTTAAATTACGCATACGTGTACGTGCTCTTCCTAGAATCCATGCATCATTATGATTAAAGACAGGATATACAAAAAATAACTGATTCAGTAAAGTGTAATCATATTTTTTTCTTGAAGAGGCGTCCAAATAAATTCAATTTAATAAAATTCTACGGAATGATAACAAAGTATTATCAGAAAGATGCATCAGTGATCTGAATTTTTACCTTTGACAAAAGTATCTTGACATAAATCAAAGAAGTATGCTTAAACATGGTAAAACGAAGAAGAAGCAAGTCGAGTACACCTTTTACATTCCGGAGTGTTTGAAACTCTTGTTTTAATTTTATAACTTTTAAATACAAAAATTACATTATGATCTCGCTTCAGATTCCATTTTTTTTTTTTTTTTTTTCAAACTGAATTTTCATTTAGTAGCTTTAAAAAATCATCGTTTGAGATATAAATATATGGGTTAAGTAAAATGACGAAGTAGTGATCGGTGCATTTGATTACCGGTAACTCAATTAATTATTCCCTTTAAAGGTTGTTGTCAATGAAATCATCCAAAATTCAATAACAAAATATGTAAAGAATTAGAATAGAAGATTGTGCTAATTTTTAAATAGCATTTGTTCCAACAAAGTATGTGTATTCAACGAGCCAAAAATTCATGCAGTCTATGCTCCCCTCCGTCATCCTTCAGGGCAATAGGCCGAGATACGGTCAGATAGTTTGGTTATGTCGAGTAATGTCATTGTATTGGAAATCTCTAGTATAGCGTGTATTACTTTATTATACGTAGAGGATACGATACAAAAAATCTCTTTTTTGAACTCTTTGTGTAGATTGATTATGTTCTGAAACAAATCAATAGTATCTATATTCAATCTGTATTAATTTCCCTTGTAGAATATCAAAGCATGGAGTCACAAAACGAGGAAGACGATGGAAATATTGAAGATATTGACTTGAAAACGTGGACATCTTGGACATATAAAATACTCCATCGCAATTACCAACTAGTAATATTTTAATTAAACTACATGTAGTATGCCTTTTGATTTGAAACCAATTTGAAAAAAATAACTCGTTATTCAAAACAATAAGTCAGATGATAATAATATGGGATAATGTAGTGTTCATAAGGATTAATATCATGTTAAGTTCTATGATAATAATAATCCAACTCAGCTTTTCGATTGATATGTCATTGGTATGCTTTCGAATTGAACAAGTAGGAGATGTATCATTTCACATACAATTATATGTTACATGATTCCCCTTAGACATAGATGAATTTCGATGCACAGTTTATACATGCCCAATACTTTATATACACATACATCTCTCGATGCAGTTATCAAATTTGTTTCGGTCCCAGATTATTCTGAGGATATATCATTGAGCCTTTATCATGTTTATCTAGATGTACATCATGAACATCGGACACTCATACAAAATGTAGAACTAATTGAAAAAATTGAATGATTTTCAAAATGAAGTCAATAGCTAATGGACTCTAGTCACATAGGTTTTACATTGTGATCTTGTCCTTTTTTATAAATGTTTGGTCTATTTGACAGTTTAGATTGGTTCCGCAGCTATGCAACTAGTTTTTTGGAGTTGCTTCTAGGCAAATTTAAAAACATTTTACCTAATATCAGAAAAGATAACCCAATCATAATTATACTAATGTAACGGTCGAATTTCATTACACACTTGTCATTAAATGTAGACAATGCCGACGGTTACACATACAAACTAGTATTTTCCAATATAACTGACTAAAATGAAGAACACAACTGTATTACTGGTTCAGAATTGTTAGTCTCTAAGACATTTAATATAATATACTAGTCGGTCATCTTCTGGTTTGAAAAGACATATACAATATGCGAGACTTGTATAAAATAATAAGAAAATGTGGTATGATTGTCAGGGAGCCAAAAATCTCCACCATACACCAAACTGCAGTGGAAAGTGAACAACTATAGGTCATTGTACGGCCTTCAAAAATGAGCAACACATGCCGCAAACTAAGCTACAAAAAGCACCGAACTGGCAAATGTAAAACAATTCAAATGAAAAACAAAACTAACAGCCTAAAAAGTGTCAAATACGATAAACGAAAAACAAATGCCATAAACAGCAATACAGAATTGATAAATGATCTGAAACAATACCGTTTACACAGATATCAAAACCATTTTAAAACCACGTACTCTAATACGACGTCGATGCTAAAAGTGTTTTTCAGGGAAGACACTTTATGGTTATTGGTATTATTGTGGGATAATTGAGACATAAAATCAATCATGTGAACACACAGACAAAAGCAAATTAAATACAGAAAGTGTCTGTATTTCATTGTGTATTCCATTTCATCGTTCCAATTTCATATTATTATTATTTTATCTTTATTGAAAATCATTATTTTTTATTCACTAACCAATGGTCAAAATAAAGCGCTAACACTTGGTCATACATCAAGAGTAACCTTAATGACGACTTGTCTCAAAAAATATTTTTGTAGTATATGAATAGTGATGACATAGCTGGAGATTTTTTAAAGGCAAGACTACAATATCACACAAAATTGGTATGTAGAGTCAACGATCTTTCTTACAAGGGCATTGGGTCGTTATGAGAAACGATTCAGTACACAATAAATAAGTTATATATATACGCATGAAAAAGTGTACGAAACAACACCAATATTAAAGAAGGAAACAATAAATGTTAGTATCTATAAATATTTCGGATAACATATATCCTTCATCAGAAGTGTTCCTTTTTTTAATATTAGCGTTGTTTTTTACACATATTTACGTCTAACTAAATGACAACTTTACGACACAAAATCTTCATTTGATAAACAGTGGTTTCACAGATCTAACACCATAATTAGTACACTAGTATATTTAGTCTCAAACTTAGCTCAACAAAGTTAGATCCTCAAATTTCCAGAAAAAAATCTTGAAAATGACGTTGCGTAATCAAATTTTATTATCTTGGCGTTGTCATTACATATCGATCTAGTCATTGGTGGTCATCAACAAATCTAGTCTACCTGTACCGTTGTCTAGCAACATGACGTTCATGTACTCCTGCCATTAATGGCACGATTCATATTTGTCTTACTCAGTCTTTTTAAAGAGAAATGATACATTATTTTACTGATGTTATTGTGAATAAGAATTGACAGTAATGTTTCATGAAGAAAACAAAACTTTAAAAATCATTGATGTGCGTCAAATATCGCTTAAAGAAATTTCTGTGGCGTCAATAACTCGATATGTGTAAATACCTCAGGTAATTTAGGTATTGTATTTTTCTAAACAGAAAGAAGTATGGTAATCTTGAATAGTAGTTATAAGAAAATTAATCACGATTATGAAAAAAAAAAAAAATATCTCAAAAATGCACTGTGCATTTTTAAAGTCTGTCAATATATTATCTATCCTAGAATTTTGTTTTAGAAAAGATCAAGCCCGTTTGTAGACAATTTGATACTGTAACAGAAGATGCTGCGCAAATATGTAAAATGCCGCAGAAATACTATTTGCTTACCCCAAAGACATCATATATCAAAAATAAGGAGATGTGGTATGTTTTCTCATGAAACAACTATCCACCAAAGTTCAAATGAAGTGAATGTGAAAAATTATAAGCAACCGTACGGCCTTTAACTATAGGGAAAAGCATACTGTATAGACGGCTTTTAATAACACTTAGATGAAGAATATGAAACATTTAAATTGATAAAAATATTAACAGCCTAAATTATTGTAAGACATGAACCAGCGACAACCAATATTTACACCAATAAAAACATTATTCAAAGAACTCATTTCAGTTTTGAATGGGTAACATTTTAGAATAAGTTTATTTCAAGGATTTATAAGTTTACCCGGATCATATCGAAATTTCCGGGATCGGTTAACAACATCACCGTACAAATAAGGATGTGCTATTCCGGTTGAAATACGTTTTCTACAGGTATATCAAACTTCCAAACGAAATCTGTATATCTATAGAAGAATTTAGTAACGAATTGATGTAAGTTGTTGTATCAAAATTCCTGACTTAATAACATACACAGATTACGATAAAAGAAATTTAAAACGTCACCACAGACACGGAAATAACAAGGAGTTGGGATATATAAACACCTTAAGACAGTGTTCAAGCAACATCTTCGTCCAAAAAATGAAAATTTACAATAAGGAAAGAAAAATCATCCGTTTTATCGTAAATATTTGTGTAGAGTTTCTGGTATTAAACTGAAATATTTAAATCTGGTAAAAGACAGTTATTGCTGTTAATATTTGATTTATTTAAAGTAAGTTACCTTTGATAAACTTCAGCAGTATATCTAGTGATGCTTTTTTTACATAGAAATCTTCATCCTCATGCTGCGGACGACACAATCGAGAGATGAGCTATATTGATGCAGATGTAAAACCTTTTTTTATAGACATTGGTAAATTTATAAAACGTATTTTGAAGGACGAATCGTATTCAGTTTACAAAGGTGATTATTCGGTTTAAACATATATTTGCATACGATTATGGTAAAATTCGATTAAAAGCAATAATTATATTCAAGTAATTCAATACACAAGTGTGGAGTTAAAATCTAAGAAAATGTAAATGTGTTAAACATCTTAAGTTTGCATCAGTGAGACCAAGAAAGATACTTCAAGATAAATTAATATAGTATAACAAGGAATAACAAGAATTACTTAAAATAAGGCACTTCAACAGACAAATGGATTACGTGACTTGCACATTATGAGGTATTCGTAATTGAGAAAGCAATCTTATACTACAACGACCGCAAAGATGATGTCAAGTCACAGTGCGGTTACACAAATGACAATCCCTGTTTTGAAATATATTTACTCATGGTCATTGTTTCAATTGAAAATGTATGTAAACAAACATATTGTAAACAATCGACGTCTGCAATAAATAAAGACAACCGTAGTATACCGTTCAAAATTCATAAATCGAATAAGAGAAAACAAACTAAAACCGAGGGACACACATCTACTATAAGAGGAAAAAACGGAACAACAGAAACACTAAACTGCAATAAAAGCAAACGCCAACATACATAAAAACGGACTTTTTGATAACACCTGCCATATTTTGACTTGGTGCAGGACATTTTAAGAATAAAATAGTGGGTTGAACCTTGTTTTATGGCTAGCCAAACCTCCCGCTTATATGGCAATGTTAAAAAATACCGCTGAAATGACAACACTTCGTGATAGGAATACAGTACAAACAAACTCAAGAACAGCAATATTGAAACTGACAATAAAGAGCTTAAAAAAAAAAGGTTAATTATGTTTAATAGTCCTACTTTACAAATAATACTGTAAACCAACTAATTTTCGCGAGCGATTTATCTTTGCAACTTTCGCGAGTACAAAAATAACGCGAATATAAATCCTCGCGAATATGTAAAACATGGATGTAAACTTATTTAACTACATGAAACAAATTTGAAAATAGCGAAATTCAATCGCCGCGAAAAGGGCTAGTAAAGGCTAAACGCGAAATAAAGTATCCGCGAAAATAAGTTGGTTTACAGTATAGCCTTTTGAAGACAGATAATCAATAGAAACAAGTTGATAATTAAAAGTACATAATCAGTTTCACTATATTATTATCGTTTTAACAAAATCTCAAAAAAAAATACACCGAGTTTCCAAATGTTAACATAAACAAAATCCATTTGTAAATAAGATTTAAAAAAAAAATCAAAATGGTTTCTGTTTATTATGAAACATATTTTGTTGTCGCCTTCAAACATGTTTGCCCGCGCATCTTTGTATATTCCTGTAACAGTTTAAGAACCCGTAATTCAGTGGTTTCCGATTGTTGCTGTATATGCTAATTGTTTTCCACATAAAAGACCTTTAGTTCTTTCGTTAAAATTGTTTTACAATTTAGCTGTTACGGTATTTTATAGCTGGCTGTGTGGTATGGATTTTGCTCGATATTCAAGACCACATGGTGACACATGATTAATACCTAGAAAGTCATTTAGTCTCTGGTTTTCAGCTATCTCAATGGAAATCATGCAACATTTTCTTATAATTGTTAGATTTTCCCGAAATCCCATGAGTACTTTTATTCGTCTAAGATTTGCAAAACTTCCAAAGAATTCTTAAAAGATTGATGTCTATAAAAACGTTACCAAAGAAAGTATTTACATTGTTACTATCAAAGTGAAACTGTAACTCTCAGTCATTTACCGGGAATTTGTAAAAAAAATAATTACGTTACAGTTTCTGAGTTATAATAATTCTACAAGGTCACGACGCAATAGAAACGACGACACTGATGAACAAACGCAACATGGTTCTATAATTTTAATTTTGGGGGAATATTTCAAAACAAGTCATATGAGAACAAAACCAATAATTTCCCTCCCAAATATAAATCCTACACTTTGATGGTCACCATCATTTTAACATATATCATCAAAATGACCAAAAGGGTTTATATCATATTTGTTTTTTTTAAACAATGACGATTTCATTAACTATTTGTAGATATAAACGGGAGCGACAAAATACAAAGAAGGGATGTTTTAATCTGGTCAGTCATAATAAATAGACGAGATTATGCAATTGATATATTGAAAGACGGATCAACAATAGAGACGAAATTAAACAAAGGGACATGTATATGTAAATATGCTTATATATTATTAGTATTAAGTGTGTATAATGAATTGAAGGAAGCATAAGTTAGCCAATTATTGAACCTCATTATTTATTTTTTGATGTACAAACCAAGAGAACAAATCTGCTGATGCCAGGTGTGTCAAACGAACACGCGTCCTTTGATATAAACGCATCAGCCGTCATATGCATCCATATGAAAAATACAAATTGAACATATTGTGTGTCCAGAGATCTTTGATTGCAAACACTTGTCATTTTATCTTTCAAAAATTTCAAGTGTACGACTTATGTTTTGTTTATATAAGTCGTTATACATTATAACCCTTCTATCTAAGTATACTTGTGTAACTTAAGTCCGTAAACCTACGCGTGTAAATGTCTACGAGGACAAATAGTGTATACTTCCAGTGAAATTGGAAGTTGCCAATACAACTGAAACTTAAGAACTAAAATGTATATTCTTTAAAAAAAAAGTTTTAGGATATGTTCTGTTCTAAATTAAAAATAAGGCAAGTCGATCAGCAAAGGTGCACACATAATACGAAATGGTGTTGTAATAAGCTGTAAACAGATTTAACTTGATATATAATACTTTGATCAGTCAAAGTAAGCGATCAACAGTTTGTATGACTGCTCCGATCAGTTCTTTACAAGCAGTGTCAATCTTATAAGCAGCCTAAATACTAGGGCTATTTAGATGCCTACCCCCACCCAAAAAAAAGTAAACTACCCAAGTCAACTCGTGAAGAAGCTACATTACTATTTTTTCAAAGCCAGCACTGTCAACAAGATAACCTTGATCCGCACTATCCGGATTAAACTTGTTTTAAAGCTAACCTTTGGATTGTACTGTTACGAGTTATTTTTAAATAGTGACCAGCTCTTAAAAGACTGCTGAAATGTACTGATAAATATGGCAGTAATAATCCTGACATTTTTCATCAGTTCCGATTGCTGCCCTATTAAAGCATTCCATTGTTTAAAAGTGTCACATTACAAAAATGGATACATACACAAACGCTTATATTCAATTTATTTATCTCTAAAAGTGTTTGTTTACTCATTATTAGTTTACAATTAAACAGATGCAGCTTTGTTTGCAAGTGCAATGTTCAAGGTTTTATCCAAGAAGGCAGATGCTTTAGAAAACATGGATCTTGGTGAATCATTTATGGAGAACTCGAGGTATATCAAATATCACAGAAGTTTGAAGCATTTCTAAGATAATCTTTCTGTCTTTCTATCTTTGGTAACTCAAATAACCTGATGTATCCGGCTATTAAGAAAATATATAATCATGAAGGACAGATTTTAGTTCACAATGCTCATTTACTTCGTACTTTGTTTTTTCCTTTTAAGTTTTGTATTCGAGCTTCATTGATGATGTTGTAGACAAAACACGCGCCTGGCGTTCAAAATTTAAATTCTGGTATCTATGATCAGTTTTTCTAAACAAACGTATTTTGAACAATTATTGCTTTTATTGTTTGCAATGTCTAACATGTCAGTAAAATGTCGTATCAGTATTGTCACTAGTGAGGAATAAGCAACCATAAGGCTTATAAACAGACAAATTATGTCTAAGGGAGGACTTTAATTGTCCATCAAAAGACTTTGTTCAATAACTTCCTTGTCATAGAAATCATTTCAACGAGGAATTATACATAAATCATAGAATCTGGAACATGGTATTGACTGGTAAATATATTTTTCCTATGTACGCTGTACTGGAAGATTCATACATCAAGATAAAAACTTTACAGTAAAGTGATTTTTAGTTTGTCGTAAAGTTTATTCTTTTTACAAATTTTATGTGTCAATGAAGTAATGATAAGAAGTAGGTACATGTATTTTTGTTATCCTCTTTTTTTATTTAAATGAAATGTGTAGAAAGTATATCATCGATATGGTCAACTAGCTTCAACAAAGTATTTATTGAAAAGACGACAAGATCAGGTACATGCACAATGTAACAACTGCTAAAGTATAGCCTTCATTAAGGTGGTACCCAACACCTTGACTAATATTAATTTGGCTCGTTTAATTTTCATAAAATTTTGACAAAATGTTTACTTTGACCCTTTGACAAAAATATAAAAAATTCAAAAAATTTGAACCAACCACTTTATCAGAAAAATTTCATTGGTTATATTGCAGTTTGACAAACACTAATTTTGATCATTGAGAAGCTTAATATTTCCTTAACAATACAACGTGATTAAAACGTTTAGCTGATTTTTACAGAGTTATCTCCCTGTAGTGTTAGGTATCACCTTAAAAAGTCTATCGAATACAGTACTAACAATAGAAAACATAGTAAACGGATATTTGTCTGAAATGGTAATATTGATCTGAACATCATCTGAAAAGACTGCGGTTAATTCAGTACTGTACATACAATTTGCTTGCAGTCACTGCAGTACTGTTCAATAGCTTTTTTTTTTAAACAATTCAGTATTTAGTTGATCTGTACATGTAAATAAGAAACACTGAACACATCTTAATTGGTTGCACTCCAATGGTCTGAATAGCACTGAATTTACCTCAATGGATAAGTCTAAAAACTTTACTGAAAATCTGAAAACAACTTAGTTACTTATTGGTCAGTCTTTTAAGAGCTGTTAATATCAACATGACCCTTTCAGATCAAAACATATTTACTAGACGTGCAACTTTAATATATTTTGATTTTGGAATAACAGGCTTTAAAACATAATTTTTACTATTCAATTCAATCAGGTCGAGCCATGTTCCAACAATACATCTGTATATCTTTTGTGAAATGTGATACCATTTGTTTACTTCAATATACTTCACCCTTCTATAACCGTCAAAACGATATATGTTTTACTCATATGTTAAAAAGGTCGTGAAGACACCTGGAATTGTTCCCATTTTTGGTCTTGTTGGTATCATCAACACCTTTCTTCATGTCTATATTTTAAATCATATGTTGGGATAATGCAATTAGCAGTCCAGTGGTTGTACACTACTACTTCATAAAAAAAAGTTACTTGGGTATAGTTGAATAAAAAGAAATTTTGAGATCTTGTGCACTGAACTAGATATCATGCGTTTATCTGTTAATAAGGTTTTGCAATTGATAAATGCATACAATTATACTATAGTAAGCCACCATCTTTGAGTTATATCAGCCAAATTTACACACAGCATTTAACGTACACTGTTAGAAAACAATAAAAAAAACATTTAGCTTTGCTTTTGCTAAAAAGCAAGCATTTATATCACATATACAAGTATTTACGTTTTATACATATTTCGCTTATAGGTATTTCATATTGTAAGGTTTTCCTTGTTGTAAAGCACACCTTGGGGTGTCAGAATTATCCCAAAAGACGTTAAAACGGTCGATCTTTCATTTGAAAAATCCTGACTTAAACATCAAATAACATAAATTCTGCATAGATGTATCGGAAGCTATATTGATTTGACCGATCACGTCCAACGGCTCAATTATAAGGTCAGATCAAACTCACTAATCTATATAGAAAACAAATTTGTAAAACATCACTCTCCAGATAAATGGAATGTGCTGCTGCATTTGCATTTTAAGACCAGTAAGCAGGACACAAATGCATTTATACAATGTATGAAAAGTACATGTCACTTTGGTAAGTAAAAAAATATCACAAATATATCGATCTGTAATGCATATTAGAAAAGGGAAAACCAAAAACATTTCAAAATCCAACACTTCCAGTTAAAAGAAAAGGTGAAAACAAACTGCCATATTCCTGATTTGGTACAGGTACGTTCGCAAGAAAATGTTGGATTAAACCCGGTTTTACACTTTGCAAAACACCCCACTTGTTTGACTGTTGTATGTAGTTCCGTTATACTGCCAACAGTTGTTTCGCAACGCAAACAGACATAAAAGGTAATGTGTAATATTTTGGATCCATTTCTCAAAACTGTGTAAACATACATCACATGCTTACAACACAATTAACTAAAATGTTTAGGCAAACATGCGCATTATTCTAACAAAGACGCCAGCAAAAAGGTTTATTATATAAAAATCACTCATCATAGAAGCAAAGACCAAACTTGTAGAAGCCAAACACAAATGAACAAATAAAAAGACGCATGTAATATAAAGACACGGAAATCTGAAAAAAAAAAACGTATGAATATTTTACTATGAATAACTGATAACGAGTTCAAACGGTTAAAAAGTGTTTGCTTGGTATGTTCTGTTGTCCTTCATGAATACAAAATTATGTTATTCCTTTGATGTATCATTTTCTACTGTAGGAACAACTCTAAGTATTTCGTTTTATTTGGCCTACAGTTTGACTACTTTAGTCTCTCTCTCTCTCTCTCTCTCTCTCTCTCTCTCTCTCTCTCTCTCTCTCTTTATATATATAGGTTTGAACGTTGTTTTCAATTTAGACTTGTATATATACATATATATATATATAACCTACGTCATGTTTAAAAAAAAATAGAATTGTACTAGCGTCTCTATGATTTTCATTTTTGACTGTTTTATTGTATAAATTTCAAGATTGTTATAGTTTTAAAATCAGACTAGATTGATATGAATCATTTTACATCGTGATTATACTGATTACGGATATCTGTTATCCGAAATATTAAACATTTGTTCATTTTATTATTATTTTTTTGGTGATGTTGTACCCTTTTAGACTTGTTATATATATATACTTGTTATATATATTTATATACTTTTTCACTCATTTGGTCTTTTGAAAAATGTTGTTCGTGCTGTATTTAGACCCCTCTACCAAGACATTTGTTTTGCATGCACACGTATAAAAATTGCGGTTTTTATCCAATGCAATCAGAGGTTTGAACGTTGTTTTCAATTTAGACTTGTTTATATTTTTTCGTTTGGGCTTGTATTATATTTGCCTTCGGGTTTATATGATCCGTTCATCCTATTTTGAATCTTTCAAATTTCCAGAGTCTATCCTAAATTGAGGTAAATTATATGGCCTTCCAAATACCTTTTCTATTCCCAACATTACTGAAGAGACATTAATTGTCGAAATCCGGATATGGTGTACAAAGTTTTGTACCTCATGTTTGCGGTATACCATCTTTTCTGCAAGTTTATTGTTTTCTGTTTGGTAATAAATTAATAATAAGATCTATTTTGCTACGTTTGTGATCCGTTTATTTGGCAATCGCTAATGGCAGTCAGCAGGGTTTAAGAACATCATAAAAAGTGTACAAAACAACACCAATATTAAAAATAGAAACATTAAATGTACTTATCTATAAATATTTCAGATAACAGATATCCTTTATCAGTATGATTATGATGTGAAATGAATCATACTAATCAATTCTGATTTAACTATAACAATCTTGAAATTTAAACAAATAAAACCGAACACAAAAACACTTGTACAATTCTAAAATTTTAAAAATGACGAAGGTTATATAGGTATTTACAACTGAGACTGCACAAATATGCTTCGTATATAAATAGTAATAGTAATATATATATTCAAACACACTAAAGCCTGAAATAAGTCCGTATAATGTAAATGTTGTTCAAACATTAAATATATCTTTTTTATAACAAGATAGGGTAGAGAGATGTGTAACAATAGAAACCTGTCGTTGTTGTTATAAAGGGACAAACTTAATACATTCGACGAATATACGAGAAGCAAACATTTTTGATGGAACGATTGTTTGCATTATTGAGGAAATATGAGCATAATTTCCATATCACCTATCAAAAAAGTAAAAGACAAATATTGATGTATTCTCATTTTATCTTAAAAAGTTACAATTTGTATCACTTTAACTTTAAAATATTTTGTTTAGTGCGTAAATAAACACCATATATTGTTATGACCATGACAATTTAGATGCTACAATGTCTTTGTATAATGTTGATTTTCCGAGTGAAACAAACCTAAGAGCCAACTGGAAACAAGAATATATTATACATGGTGTGATTTAGGACTTCTTATATGTAGCCTACAAGTTATGAGTAATTCAGAGTAGCAGTATTAATGTTTGCTTAAACCAACGACACTTACGTTATCCAAACAAAAGACGCGCTAGGACATTATGTTGATACGCGTGCATCTAACTTCTTCTTTTATCTTTTTTTTCAAGACGATTATAAGAAATTTATGTAATTCTATGCACAAGTAAGGTCAATCTAAAAGTTTTCAAAAATATGAAAACAGATATCTGGCTGGTATATTCGACATGAAAGGGGATTGGCAAACGAACGATCGGCTATAAATGTATGCAAATATAATTATATGACCATTAACTTATACCTTAGGTAAATACATTTTAAAAAAAAAACCGACAAAATGTTTGTTTACAATTAAAGCAGTTAATTTACAAAACTGTATAATGATTCCCTCCTACAATGTCATTTTTTTTTCATTTTGAGGTTTTTTGAGGTTTTAGCAAGCAATGGCATAGCGGAAATGTATGTGAACGACAGAGCAATGTCACAGAAAATACTTACCCAACCTGTTGAAGAATATGGTTGTTCAATGAAGACTGTAATGAAGATTTCTGCAAATAATAAGCTTATGCTGTTTATGGGTACAACAGCATGTCAAACGAAACTTAAAAGTATTTGGAGAGGACATATGTCTATATTAACGTCCAGAGAAATGGTACTATTATACATTAATTCACTATTCCATATGTTCTTCATGCAAATAAACTTAAAGAAAACCAACTGTTTTCGAGCTACGATATTTATAATGTCTAACATGTCTAACTAAAAATCAACAGAAAACTTCTAGATGACTCTCATCTCAATCATATAAACACAGTCACCAAGATGCATGCGTCACACTTCCACATCAGTTTTATTTTCTGGTCATTATTCTAAATAACCATATAAAAGTATACTAAGCGGGGAGGTAGGGCAAGCAATTACTCAGGAGGCTAGTAGACAAATCATAATAAAATTTAAACTTGATGTTCAAATTATGAATTTCACTTCATTCATTTTCTACTTACCATCTGATACTTTACATATATGATTTTATTACAAAGCCTTACCTTCCATTAGAGGTCGGGAATTTTTCTATGGCTCTGCATATCTTTTCTTCTCTCTCCTTATCTCAGTAGATGTTCAATTTTCTATTTACAAATGTTCATATTTACAGTGTTTTTTTTTAAATGCTTTTTTTCACTGCTTCAAAGCAGAAACAATAAATTTTAAATTGTCTATTCACTAAAAACTTGCAGATCCCAGTTCCAAAGTAAAATTTAGTAAATGTTGTATCTGTCGACCAATCTGCCGATTCTAGAATACTTTTCATGCTTGCTCCATTAAATAGAGCCCATGATGGTCCAATCGCTCTAGTGGATTGCGCATCTACTTTAAAATCATCTTCTCCCTAAGCCATGTAAATAGTATTTACATTCCATCTTGCAATGGTCTGTGAAGAAATAGGGATAAAAACAGCTTGCATTCGTCTTTTCTAACTTTGTCAGTTTTCTTTGAATAGATGGTTATTGCTCTTTTTGGATCCAATTTCTTATTGTCTTTGAAAAATGGTACAGACACTTTGGAACCATAATGCTTCTGTCTGTTCTGTTTAGACAATCCAGGTCTTAAAAATGTAATACCTCTACTTTGAAATTGACAAATCCCTCACCAATCCCTAACGCTTGAAGGTCCGAGTATCTCCTGAACGTTGTGGTTGCTGCGAGAAAAACATCTTTATAAGTTACACATTTAATATCAGCTTCACGTAAAGGTTCAAAAGGTGATTTTTGTAACATGTCTAGAATTTTATGTAAATCCCATTTAGGTACTGATTTCACTTTTGGTATTCTTGAATTGAATACCCCTTTTAACAATCTAATGATATAAGGATGTTGACCGAAGGGTGTATGGTCAATAGGTGATAAAAGTGATGAAAACATTGACCCATAACTCGCAATGGTGCGATATTATAAACATTAGGTGTACAAAGATGTAAAAAAAATCTGCACAATCTACTAGATTTGCTGTATCTTTTTTTCTCTCACTACACGAGCAATTAAACTTTTTAAATTTGATTGCGTAATCTTGTTTTGTACCAGATCTCCAGAATGCCCTACGTAGCTTTCTAGTGTCTCGTGAAAAGATTTTATTTCTGAAATTTCTGTTGATATCAGCCATGTTGTTACTTTGAACATTTCCGGGTTTGAATGATAAATTTGTGTTTTTGGTGGATGTAGAAGCTTTTTTTAGTTTTTGAAAGGTTATTAGTTTTGCTATTTTCTTTTGTGGAAGTCCTGTGTACAAATGTCTTCTTGACCAAAATGGAGCAATTAGTATAAATCGAAACTTGTACTTACTCATGTGTTTCAGAACTTTTGGTATTATGCAAAGTTGGGGAAAAGCATATGCCCACATGTTCTCCCTCGAAATTATCAATGCATCTACTGCTAGGGCTATGTAATGCGGAATCCAAACACAAAAAGCTGGTGCTTTGAGAATGTCTCCCGATGCAAACATGTCGGCCATTATATATCATTTCGACCTGCTATGTCAGCTGCCATTAGAACTATTTTGTTTTTGATTGCCATTTTACACAAATCTCAAATATTGATCTGGTGCCCCCTTATTTGTTCACATATTGAACTACTGTTGTATTGTCGCTTTTGATCAGAATATTTTGCTCCCGTAACTGAGGTGAAAACTGTTGTACTGTGCGTGGTACTGCTACTAACTATAGAAGATTCATGTGTAACAATTGTTGGGTTTCTGTCCATTTGCCCTCAAATATCTGACCCTTCATGTGACCCCTAAAACCTGTTTTGGAAGCATCTGTGAATATTGTTATATTCGCTGACCACTGGTGAAGTGATCTGCCCCTGAATGTGGTGGCTCTGTCTTACCACTATATCAAATGACTTTTTTATGTGTTGTGTAAATGGTATTTGACAGAGTAGGTCTGTTGACAAGGGTTTCCAGTAATGAAGTAAATGTAACTGAATAGGCCTCATAAAGAGTCTTGCATTTAGGATCATTTCTATGCAAGATGCTATTAAACCCAATAGAACTGAATAATCCCTTTCCGTATTGTGCCCTGTAATTAAATTTTGTATTGATATTTCTAATTCGGCTAGTCTCTCTGAAGTTGGTGACACAATTTACCTTTTGAAATTGAAAAATGTTCCTTTGTATGTTATCGACTGAGCTGGGGCCAAGGATGATTTTTCCAGATTGACAATGACCCCCAACTTTGTTAAAAAAATGGAGTGTCTTCTCTCGATATAATACAAGACTGTTTTTCTGAATATTCACTAGTAACCAGTCGTCTAGATATGTCGCTAGCCTTACATTCTGATTCTCAAATGAGCGACTATTACTGTTACAATCTTTACAAACACCTTTGGAGTTTGAGATGGGCCGAAACATAATGCTACAAACTGATACATTTTGCCTTGTATACAGAAGGTATTTGTTAAATTTAGGACTTATGTCAAAGAGTCCATTTATAAGTGCTGCTTCACTAGATACTGTATGAGAGGTTCTAGGTTTATTACTGGTCTCAAACCCTCTAGATTCGTGGGAACTAGAAAAGGCGTACTGTAAAAACCTTGACCTATTTCGATTGATGTACTGTTTCTATTACACCCTTTTCTAACCATACGTCTACCTCTGATAAAGTAATAGGAAGACTCTCTGTATTGACTTGTGTCTGCTTTAAACCTGACCAATGAGGTTCTGTATAAAATTCTAATTTGAGACCTTCTTTAAATTTTATAATTTTCAAAATTCATTCGCGTCTGTTATTTTGTCCCATTCCTTTACAAAACACCTCAACAATCCCCCACCGGTGTCTGGGAGGCAGCGCTAAACTCTTGGCGTCTGGAAAAGTACTTATTTTTGGCATTTGAAGAAAAACTTACCCAAGGTTTATTTGTTGTGTTCTGTTTTGCTGTTGCCTCTGACTTGAAATCAGCTGCTGGTTTCTTTGGAATCTTTAACCATTGTCAAATTTCCCTTTCTTAAAACCAGTGTCACTTGAATCAGTAGAACGGGTTATTTTCCTCTTAATGGGAAGAGAAGTAAATACCTTTTTTTTATTTGATAAAAACTCAGCCAGTTGTGTGTTTCTTTATGTATTTTCCTTAAGTTTCTCGCCAAATTGATAACCAAAATATTCCCTCAGAAGTTACATTACAGTATAAGCATCATCTTTCAAATCGCTAATTCCAGTATCGTAGATTGTTGCTCTTCTCCTTATCATATTGTGAAATGCACCAGACCTAGACATCTGATCGTATGTCTTTGTTGATGATGCAAATATATCTCTCACATTTTGCACAGCAGCACATTAATTTTGTGTTTCAGAATGAAACTTGTCCAATACAATACCATGTGCCTTTTGTAAGTTGCAAGACGTTATAAAACCCATTCTTGCAGCTAATTGTCTCTTAAACGTGTGTATATTGAATTTTCTCTGAAGACTTTAACTCTTTACCAAATACACAAGGAACTTTACTGAAAGGCGCTTTAGGTCCAAGTCTCTTAACCAATAAACTTTCTACAGATTTGTCAAAAGTAGGCACAATGCAAGAATTTTCATAGCTAGGGTCTACAGGAAAACTTTGTCTGAAACTGTCTCGAAAACAAGTTACCTTCTGAGGCGTATCTGATCTCCATGCCCCTTTCAAAACATCAATTTGCTTTTGTTCTCATATAATACCAGTCTTATCTTTAAAGCGATATGCATACGCATCTTCTATTTTTTTCTCCTAGTACATTACATGTTGCTTTCTGATTTGAGTCTGATGTGCTAGTAGCTGTACTTGTATTCTCATGTTTGTTACCCAAGTACCTTTGAAACCTTGCAGTAGATTTTACACCTTTAAAATCCACTACTGATCTATTGGCTACACTAAATGCATATTCTGAATGTTCAGATGCTTTCTCATCATTTTCATTGAACAAAAAACACCATTTTGTCTTTAATTGTCTGATCCATAGATTGACAAAGTATCTAAATTCCCGTGATTTGGCTACTCATCCGCAGATATCATTGGAAAATACCTCGTCTATGCACGTTACAGTTTCTGACCTAGCAACCCCCGACTCGGGTTCTGTAAGTCTTTCAACTGCCAAAATGTTCACTAATTGACTTATCTTTTCATTAAAAAAATGAATACTGTACCTCTTCCTCAGCAAACCTTATATTCATACGACCTTCTAAATCATGAAAATCGTTTTTTTGTTCTTTGATGACCTTTTCTCACCGCTACGTTTTTGCTTCTTTTCGTCCGCCATGTTGGAAGTTTCTGACATAACAGAAGCGCTTTCTTTCCCTGCTACAACATTAGCATTTTTATTTCTCATCCTGCCTCGCTATTAATTAAAAACTTGTTGTATCAAGAACGTATTAACTCTTTCGCGCAGAAAATAAAACTGATTTGGTAGGATGACGCATGCGTCTTGGTGACTATGCTTTCATTAAAGAGATGAAAGTCATCTAGACGTTTTAATGTTTTGCGAGTCTGAACAATCAAAGGGAGATACAAATACTATATGTAAAGAATAAGGTGGTAAGTAGAAAATTAATGAAAATAAATTTTCTAACATAAATCATAACCGTGTTTGTGGTAGAAAGGGGAATTTTTTGTTGGTATCACTTTAAAAAAAGACCGT